GCACATAACACCACCACCACACAGTAAAAATTCTCAACCAATCAGGAAAAGATTCTCAACAAAGAATTTGACATCTCTGTACATCTTTGATGTGTTACATTAAAACTGATCAGCAAATAGACTTGGGTATATTGTTTCTCACAGAGTCTTTCCCTCACTGCCCCGATGATCTAATTTTAATGCTCATGTAAGCAGTGATTGCACTGGTATGATTTCTCACTTTATTTTCTGTGCCTACAAGGGTGGTAGTATTATTCTCACAGAATCTTTTTTTTTATTCTCACAGAATCTTAACGAACATTTCTGCCTAACAGTGAAACTCTTTGTAAAAAAAATTGTACATGTTTTGCTCTGGAAACTGGGATAAATACATCACACGTACTAGTTCCAATCCATGTGTCTTAACCTATCTTCCGTCTTACGTACCTAGACCCAGCAAAGAAGAGCCTATATTCCTCATCATAATCTTCATTTTTCTACGGCCAGCAATAGTTTAAAAAAAGATCTATCTGCCAACGCACAGAAATGAAAGAGGACTCTTCAATAGCTGACACAGAGTGATAAAAAAATAAGGCTGATGACTAAAACACACACACACTCTCAAACTTGAGTGCAGAAAATAAAAAAAATTTCATACTTGTTCATGAGAACAAGATTCACGTTTCTGAAGACTATTGCTTTTAGGACGCCTCTGCTGCTCCCTACCTCAAAATATTGGTCTATGAATAGAAGGAGGTACAGATTATAAAATGCTTAACAAATTAACCAGCTCTTATAAAAATGCTTAGTTATATTATAAGGACACAAACAGGCAGGAGGTGACTGAAAAGTTGAAATAAGGTTCAAAAAGCTATACAGCAAAAGGACATTGAACTGGCCGAGTATGTCAGACGAAGCTTCAAAATCCTTGCTTCCAAGGAACCACCAGGTTTAACGTTCTCTAGGATGAACCTGTTTGTTTTCCTAGCAGTCCATGGTACATTCAATCCTCTTCTCCAGCACCACAACTCCAAGGAGTAAATTCTCTTTCTATCCTCCCTAGTCAGTGTCCAACTCTCTGAAGCATGGAAGTGACTACAACCCTATCTTTCACTGTATCACAACATCCAGTCCAGCAAACACCACACATCAAATCTGTTATCTGCACGTCTTACTTGAAAATCATTCCCTAAACAGAATTGGGCACATTGTTTTTCTGGTCTTGATACCACTTTCTTCCTGATTATGAAATTCCTCACAATTCTACATGGTTTCCCCCCAAAATTGGGGTAAATTTGGACTCCACTTAATTCTATGAATGACACCCATGTATGTTTCTTCAACTGTTAAGAGATGATTCTTCACTCTTTTCAGCTTTCAGAAATGCCTATGCTCATTAAAGGTGCCTCTTGTTGGAGAGAGAAGCTATGAGAACATGAGCCTTTAAGATTTTCATGAGGATGAAATAGGTTTATATGGTGAAATGCCAGATCATGACAGTTACAAAGTAGGAGGAGGTCCTGAAAAGCTAATTCACCTAAAATACATTCAGATGGCCATCAATCACATGGAATATATTTGATATCATTACTTCTATAAACATAGGACACTTTAAATTAATAGGAATTAATTGCGAGCACTGAAGCAAAAAGCATTTCACAGTGCGGAAATAACAGGTACAGAAAGTTTGCTAAAAGTCACCCAAGACAAACTTGGACATTCAAACAACCTTTGGTGATGACGTTCTGAGAGATGGGCTTTGGCGTTAAAGCCATGAGTATTTAAAATGTTCAGAAATTGCTGAAAATCACTATTTTTGAGACTGAAAGTCCTGTTCCTATCTTGACGATCTTTGCCCTTTGGTGAACCCAGACAAAATGCCACCTCCCTCAGCAAATACTTTTCAACATTTACGCTCAAATGATCATTGCCAGCAAGGTTGAACCAACTTATTGCTGGCCTGCAAGTCTATTTCTAAGACTGTAAATACCATCAGATGATGTGACCGTCTTGATCTCAAGGAGGTCCTGGTCAATACTGAGTAGAAAGGTGGCCTTCAGGTTAGCCACTGAAGTCCCTAGCATTATGCCAAGAGAACTCCAATGAATGAACAGCAAGGTTTGGGTTAATAAAAGCATCACTTGCTTTTGGGTTGTTGATGACAGAACTCTTCACCCATGACTTCACAAGAGTTCTCCAAGCAGGAGAAAAGTGTAACAGATTGTTCTTGATCATGTGCGTGCACACTTGTTTGAGTTGCAAGGTACACATTCCTAAGCAGATAATTAGTGTGAAAAAGGAATTGTCTACTTTTCCTCAGTATGAACTGCAATGCAAACTAAAGGTGGAAAAATTACTACAATAGACCTATAACTAACAGGATCTTCAGGGGAGAAGAATGGATTGATGTTTTCAACTAAATTCTTTTAGAGAGCTCCATAACCAGTATTCATGGAAACACCAGTCAAGAAATGAAATGAGAGTCTATTAGAAACTTGTCCCGCACAGAACACTTCTCGGTCTGCATAATGAAAGAAGTATCTGAGAAGGAGTGTCACACCAAAACCATACTATTTTTTAAAGTCATCTCATCTACTGGAGAAAGCAGGACAATAAATAAAAATTACCCAAGATGAACAGAATCGTTTCCATTATGTGGTTTTGAAGAACATGGAATAGACAGCCCTAAAAGAAAAAAAACAAATGGAACGCTTTCCGAACGCTCTCCGGCAGAAACAACAGCAAGAATGCATCTCCCATAGGCTGAAGAAAGCGTAAGACGGACCCAGGTCCTGGAAAATGACATGAAGGTTGGTGAATTAGACATTCAACAGAAAAAGGAAGAGGCGTCTTCACCATGTGGCCTCAAAGAGTGGCTTGATAAAAATGAGATCGGACTGACTGTGTGAACAATGTATCAAAAGGTATTGCTGATTAGATTTTCTTGAATTGAATTTATGATCTGAAAACCAAGTCAGTCTCTAGTCATGATCCCATAGAAGATTGTGGGTTCGGGGAATGTTTATTTGGTCTTAATAGCCTTTGAGGCCTCTAAGTGATTCACATGAAGTTTCTGGATGTTTTAGCAACGCACTGCAGAGGGCAAGGATTGGGTCTATTAAGTTTAGAGGATCTTCTGTCATCGGTAGCTCTGTTTCTCAGCGACGACTGGCTGAAGACATTAGAGGGTGCTCCCCTCCACATATCGATTTTAAGGGCCTGACTCCCAGTGCTGTTGATGAAATACTGTGGCACCGTGTCCAAGGCATCCATGGAAACTGGAAAGATGATGGACACCTGGCTTCCTAGCAAACTGTAAGAATATACAACAGGATACGGAAAACATCATCCTAGCAGAAACACATTTTACACACGTCAACAAATACGCTACACAAAATATGATCTAATTATATTACTATCAAATGAAAATGTGAAAAAAAGACATTTGGCTCACATATAATTTTATTGGAAAGAACTGAGGGCTCAGGAAGACTGGAACCTATACCCCCATTTTTCAAAAAAAAAATATTTTTTTCAATTTTATTCTGTTCTTTTGTGACTGGTACAGGAGGAGGTTGCCCCTCCTTCTCCAGCAGAGTCACCTGGTACATTCGAACCACATAACTCTGGGACTGCAGTGCAGCTTCTTGCCGCTCGGCCACCAAAGCTCCCTATACACCCCCATTTTTTACAAGCATGTCCTCTTGAGTGTGAAATCAAAGATGCTTAGGGTCTTAATCCATCCGCACTTTCCTCTAGTTTATAAGCAGACTGACTTCAGGTCTGTCCAGTGAATGTTGATGAACAGATAAAGGTTTTCCCATATTCCATACATTCAAAAGGTCATTCTTCAAAGAGATTGTTTACCGCTGTCATGAAAAGCTCTCTTACATTTCTGACATTTTTAAAGTTTTCCTTCCTATGAGAATTCTTCTCTGTGCAGCAAGAATAGTCACATCACAAAGTTGTCCCACTTCCCTTACATTCACAGCGTCACCTGTGCAAAGTCTCCAATGTTGAGTGAGGGCACCCCTGACACAGAGGGCTTTCTAACATTTCTTCCGTTCCTAAGTTCTGCTTCTTGTGTGAATTCTGGTGTGTCTGATGAGCTTCCCCGTCTCACGAAAGTTTTTCCCACACTCCTGACATTCGTAAGGTCTCTCTCCTGTGTGAATTCTTTTATGGGACGTGAGGGTACTGTTGTCACGGAAGGATTTTCCACATTCCTGACACACGAAAGGTCTGTCTCCCGTGTGAAGCCTCGTGTGGACGGTCAGCTGGGCGAGGCGAAGAAAGGTCTTCCCGCAGTGCTCGCACACGTGTGATCTGTCTCTTGTGTGAATTCTCTCGTGCCTGGTGAGCTTGCCAGTTTCCCGAAAGGTTTTCCCACATTCCTTGCACTGGTAGGGTCTCTCTCCGGTGTGAATTCTTTTGTGGGCGATGAGCGTACTGTTGTGACGAAAGCTCTTGCCACATTCCTGACATTCGTAAGACCTGCCTCCCGGTGCTGCGGGAGAAGCCGGCTGCGGAATGCCTTCCCCCGATTCCGTTCCTGTGTGCGTAGCTCCTGTGTGAACTCTGGCATGCCTCGTGAGCTTTCCCAGTTTCAGAAAAGTCTTCCCACACGCCTCGCATACGTACGGTCTCTCTCCCGTGTGAATCCTTTTATGTGCGGTGAGGGTGCTGTTATCACGGAAAGATTTCCCACATTGCTGACATTTGTAAGGTCTGTCTCCCGTGTGGATGCGGGTGTGGACGGTGAGGTCAGCCAGGCGAGGGAACGTCTTCCCGCACTGCCCACATTCGTGGGGTCTGTCTCCCGTGTGGATTCTGGCGTGTCGCGTGAGCTTGCCAATCTCACGAAAGGTTTTTCCACATTCCTTGCACTGAAAGGGCCTCTCTCCCGTGTGAATTCTCTTATGGCTGGTGAGGTTGCCTTTCTGACGGAAGGTTTTCCCGCACTCGTCACATTCGTAAAGCCTCTCTCCACGGTGGACTTGCCTGGGTTTAGGAATGGTATGACTGGCAGGAATGGTATTCCCACGTTCCTCAGTCTCATAAAGTGTCTCCTCTGTGTCAACTACTCTAGGTTGAGTGAGGGAATCATTCTCAGGTTTCTCTGCTGTATGAATTCTGCTGGGGGCACTGCGTTTTGTGAAACCATCAGGAAAGGATTTCTTCCATTCCTTGTGTGCAGAAGGTTTCTCCCTGGTGTCTGTCCTCTTCTGCCCAGGGACAATCTCCTTGTCCGTAGTCCTTTGCTGCATGGGAAGACCTGCCATCGACACGAGTGCTCTGCCAGGGCAATCGACCTCTGCCTCTTCTCGGACATTATCTACTACTGGGTGATGTCTGTGGAAAAGAGACAAGAGATTAAAACTGTGCCCATCTGACCATAACGAAGCACTAGGAAGATGCAGACGGTTTGTGGCATGTGGCTTCCCGTTTCACAATCTAACAGACACCCTGCGACATTCACTGGTTTAAGAAATCACGACAAGTTCAGAAAGCTGGGTCCTCAGTTAACATTTCCTACTTTGGCCAACATATCCAACGCTGTTCCCCTCAAAGAATATTCAGTGTAAAACAGATATTGCTGTTGTTGTAGTTGTTGTGTGCCAACAAGTCAGAAGAGCCGGTGGATTTGAACTGTGTGTGTTTAGGATTCTAGGGCAGCTTCCTGCCACTAGGCCACCTAGAGCTTTAAGTGTAAAATATATTTGGTTCTCCTTCTGCTTTGCAATAGCTGAACTATGCTGGAGGACTCGCAGAGCGGTATGAGATCCAAAGCAGTAGAGACATGTCTACTGTACCGCTTCCAATGTGGGACTTTCTCTCGCTGAAGGACCCCCTCTTTTCAACGCAATGACCCTCACCTCAAATGGTTCTTGTAGTTTCCATGCAGCTCCTGAAGGCCACACAATACGGAGCGTTCTCTTAACACGGACAGCCAACAGCGGAAGTTCTGCAACCACCGAATCACTGTATAGTCGGTGGAAAGCGTTGCTTTGGGACTGAAGTTCAGAATACCTGACACAAAAAGCAAAACACATTTCAAATCAGGGAACAGAGCAGAAGCAAAAGGCTGAGAAAATAAATGTTTGGGGAGCAAAGGCACATGGAGTCTCTCGCTTGCCTAGTTCAGCACCTGGGGAATGGAAGAACAACTTCTCTCCAGGTGAAAGCTCTATGGTGCTGGACCAAGATGAAGCTGTCAGTGGGTTTCTTCAGAGCAGAAATCTGACAGACACTATTCACCCGTGTAGAAAACTGTTATGACGTGGGTTGTAAAGCAGAAAACGTAGTCATTGTGGAAGGAGTGAACTCAAGCCAAAACACTGCATCTACCTGTTTCATTCAAATGTAATGCCTTACAAATAAGGGCAATCTTTCAAAATTATTGGCTTCATGTCAGTTCCTTAAATGAGTGTTATCCTCCATGACCTCAAATGTTTCCCAGGCTCCACTGAGACAAAGGTGCAAACGTTCACATGCGCTCCTGTGGGAACAGGGAACCTATGTTCACGTGGAATTCTCCACATGTGCTCTCAAGCCAGTCACCGTGCCTGCTTCTCTGAAACATGTATTTCAATGCTTCTGCCTAAATACTCACAAGTCAGAAAGTTTTGTCCATACAAAGGAATTAAAACCATCAAGAGTTTTCTATTTACCTACGGAGTCCAGGTGTGTCAACGTTTCCAGCATCACATTCATGTAGAGTTTCTTCTCATCAGCCTCCAGCAACGTCCACTCTTCCTGGCTCAAGAGGATGACCACGTCTTCAAGGCACAGCCGTTCCTTAAAAACCACAACACACACCAAAAGAGAAAATATCAAGAATCATACAAATATATCTTGTAACTGTCTGTGTTTTTTTCCTAAAATAACTCATACTTTTCTCTGCACATTCAAGTAACACATTTTGAAACTTACGAAAGATGAAATTGAATCAGTACTGTTTGATAAAGTTGGTTTCCATAAGTGAGACTGGAAGATTTATATTTATTTTCCTTTCTTTGAAACATAAACAGGAAAATTTTATAGCAAAACTACACAAAACACCGTGGATCCAAAAGGTACAGATTTATTACAGAATAAAATCTGCTGAAACTAACGACTACTTAAAAGCTACCTGATTTAGCACGTAATTAAATGACCTGTGGGCAGTTTAAATGTTTATGCGTGTACACATATTCCTGTCTGTGTCCTAGAACAAATACGAAAGACCAGCAAGCTGATGTGGTTTAATCCAAATCATTACTCTGTGATGTAGATTCCATTTCAATTCTCTCAAATGACGAGTAAAAATCATTCCTACAGAGAGAAAACAGGATGACGTGAACCTCTAGCAAACCCTGCAGATTGGCAGTTTTCCCATTTGTCTTAAAAAAGACAGAAATGATGACCATGTGGAATGTCTACCTGTTGAAAGAAGGAAACTTTGTTAAAGAAATAGGCATTGAAAGGATGGACGCCTTTCAAAGTGCACTAATGACCAAGAGAACTGACTATACAAGGGCATATGGGAGAGACGGAGTCTCACATACACATTAAATCTTTCTGTACAAGTAGTGTAGCCATAGTCATCTTTAGAAGTCTGGACGGAGAATGTCTGTTGTCCACACTTTGTAAATATCATCAGGTTGAAAAAAAAAGCGTGTTTGGGAAAAGCAGGTTCAGCAAGGAGAAGACGGTTGACAAGATCAGTACCAATAACTGAAACCCTGGAGTTCAGCACAGTGGAGACTGTGAAGTCGGCTGGGGCATGTTTGGGATCTCATTTCAGGGTGGTACTGTGAGTCAGGGTCACCTCACGGGTATACCTCAAACAAAATGCAAAAGCGAGAAACACCGCTGAAATATCTAGCACAAGTCTCAAAGTCTGGGCAAGAAAGGGCACTGATTGTGGATTTGTTAACACTGCAAATTACAAGGAATGACAGGCCATTAAGAGTCTAAGGAAATTTAGGGAGTATTAAAGCTGCCAACACAAGGATCATGAAAAGGAGGAACACAAAACCCTAACAAACTAAAGGAAATAATGCAAATGAAATCCACTGGGAGAGAGCTGGGCGTGGTCTTCCACAAGTTCACGACAGCTGAAGAGGAATCTCAAGACAGCCAGTTAGAAGCAAAAAGGCACATGAGTCAGAAAAGGCCGTAGAGGACGCTCGAATCAGACAGTCAGGGGGCTCCGGCCACGCAGGTTGGAAGAGTGTGAGAGGGGGGTCAGGGGAGCCCATCGACAAGATCTGGAATGGTGACATAAAGCCTAGATGTTACACATCAAAGCCTAGATGTTACACGTCCTACGGCTGGTGAGCTGGCTGGAGACACTGTCTCACACTGAGAATGACGTGTTCGCTTCTAACCTGAATTACAACCTGTTCAATCAAGTACACGTGTGATCATAGGATGTATGACTCTGCAGGACCCCTGGAATAGATGCTGTGTTGCAGCACCAGAGAGCAGACAGCCTAGGAGTGCCAGCTGGTGTGAGAAGTGGTAGAACCAGGGTCAAGCGCATGGAAGGTGTTGGGGTCAAGCTGACCAAGGCACACTATATGCCAGAAACAAATTCCCAAGCCAAAAAGACACTGTCTGTCTGAGATGGGCTTCGTAGTAAGTTCTACCAAACATTTACAGAAAGCCTGACAGCAACTTCACTGACAGTAATTCAGAAAAAGGAAAAAGATGAAACATTTTGGATTTTCTCTATCAAACAAGTATAATCAAACCAAGGCTAAGGTACAAGCCCAAAAGAAAATGACATACATACGAATCATTCCAACAGGATGATGTGAATCCCCCATGGAAAAATTCACAACAAAATCCTACACAGTAGAATCAAACCAAAACCTTAAACTGTTCCTCCACCCAAGTCAAATGTATAAGGTGGATAAAAAGAAAAAAAAAAATAATAATAATGCATACAAAAATAATAATATATAAAATCAAAGCTATGCCGGTTAACAAGGGTCACTCAAAAACTGAAAATCCAAAGAATCAAGGTAACCAGAAAAAAAACGTAAAAGACCTAAGTACAATACACTATGTGAAGAGATGTATATGCACACACACTTTCTCTTCTTCACAATTCAAGAGATTTAATGTTATGCTAATGACAACATTGCTAAATATAATCTAAGTATATAATGCAATTTTGTTCTGAAACATACCATCTTTTTTTATTTTGAAAAGGGAGGTGCTGGCTTTGACAGCACATATACTAAAATTGGACTGATAACGAGATTAGCACGGCCCCTGTGAAAGATTGGCATGCAAATTCATGACATGTTCCCTATTTTTAATAAAATGGAAAGAACTTGTAAAAAGTAAATAAATGAATAAAAAAGGGGGCAAATACTTAAATTTCCAATTTCACATTCAAAGGCAAGAGATCTGAGATCAGGAGAGGGTAAGTGCAGATGGAAGCAGAGAGGAGGTGGCCTCTTTTGTGTAGATTTCAAAATCCAGCCCCTGCTCACAGAACTCACAACAGCTTGGTCCTGGACAAGAAGGAAGACATAGGAAAATGTGACTCATGCAAACCCATCTATGATGCTCACCTAGGACTGAGATGAAATCCATTTAAGACGGGCAAGACAGCCTCCTGAACAAATAATTCTGGTAGAACAAATAGTTCTGGAAGAACTGCTTGTCTCTTTACAGAAAACCAGAAATCACATTCATACCATACAACATTTCAAAAGAGAAAACGTAAGACGGATCAAGAACGTAGGACTAGAAACCTAACACTATATCAAGAACACCAGAAAAATCCTGCGCAAATTAAAGAGCATAGTCAGTGTCATAAAGGCTGTAATATAAAACTGAAAAATGCACAAATCAAGAAAGAATACAGCACACTGACTGGTGGCCTAGTGGAAAGAGACTGTGGTGTCATCCCAAAGGCACCCGGTTCAAATCCAACAGCTGCTCCCCAGCAGACAGACAGATGGGTACTCTCCTCCGGGGAGATTTGCTGTCTCTGAAAACCTGCTGGTGGGTCAACTATCCATTCGTCTCTGACTCAACTCGACGTAACAAGGTGCATCGATAGACATTTTCAGAAAAGTCAAGAGTTGTCTACTCGAGTCAAGAGCTGAGGACCAGAAGTCAATCGTAGCTCATCAGCTACTAGACAGACACAACCAGGTCACAACAAGTATCATACAGCAACAATATCAACCTTGAGTAGGACAGCACACAGCCAGTGCTGCCACGGATAGAGGGACTAGAACTCCCAAACAGCGCCGGTGAGAACACAGGATGCTGCAATCACTCGAGGAAACACGCTTCCTTACCACAGCGGGAATAACACCACCATGGGAGGCACCCCATCCTATGTGCATACGCCAGAGAGATGAGCTGAGAAACTAATTAATTGAGTCACCTCCCAAACTATTCACCCCCAGATTATTAACCATACAAAGAGCTGGAAACAACCCAGGTATCCATCAGGGCACAAATGGCTACAGAAAGGGGAGTGTTATGCATCTCTAAAAGAAACTGATATATTTTTAGGCAACATGAGATGAATTTACAACAAATTATGCTGAAGGGCTGGAGGCGGTCACACAAATAGAATTACGGTATTAAAAGGAAAAAGAGAGAATGCTAAGGAAAGGTTTATAGACATCAATTGTGCAGTGCTAACAGAGATGAGGGACCTCTGGTGCTTTAGTAGCAAGAAGCTGCTCTGCAATCCCGAAGGCACAGGGATCAAAGTCACCAACTGCCCAGCGTGAGAAGGACGGGCCATCTGCTGCCATGCGATTACCTGCCTCTCTGAAAACCTGCCAAAGGGTCAGCTATGGGTAGGTTCTGACTGACAGTACAACACAACACCAACAACAACAAGGAGTAGAGGGGAGAAAGACCGCTGTAAAAATTTCGCCCTATTTCCATATTCCCATCCATCTGCAGGGCAAAGTATATCTCTTTCCAAGGACTCCTTACAACAAGTATGTGAGGTAATTTACTATCCTGGACTCTAGAGATCATTCCCCCCCAAAAAAAAGTGGGTGGAGGGGGAGTCTCTGGTGGTCTGGTGGCAAGAAGCTGCACTGCAATCCGAAAGGCATGCTGTTCAAATCTCCAGAAGAAGGGGCAATCTCCTCCTGTGCCAGTCGGATCCAATGCCACGGTACACAACAACAAAATGTTTACAAAGTTTAAAAAGAAAAAAAAAATGAATTCATCAAAAAGGAAATACAAAATAAAGATCTGAGTAGACCTTATCATGAGTTACATGACTCAGGGTCAACGTCATAAAACAAAATGTCAAGAATGAGTGTATGAAATATTTGTATGCTTTCTAAAATGTCATTTAAAAAAAAAACACAAACCCACCAAAGCAATATCAAGTTCAATGTCTTAATCTGAGGAGAACTGTGGTATCAGGATTGGTGGAAGATCTATTAACAATCTGCGTTATGCAGATGACACAACCCTGCTTGCTGAAACTGAGGAGGACCTGAAACACCTCCTGC